CCTGTTAGTCAAATGCGTTTTGTTAAAATATACTTTTTCACTTTTTTGGTCTTTTAGAAAATGTTGTTTGTGCTGTATTTAGACCCCTCTAACAAGAAATTTGTTTTGCATGCACACGTATAAAAATTGCGGTTTTTATCCAACGCAATCATAGGTTTGAACTTTGTTTTCAAGTTAGACTTGTATATATATATATACATATATACAGGAACATATATATTGACGGGACTTGCCACTACCTAATTATAGCAGATTTTATCGTCGGGTCATAGTTAATAAATGACACAATGCGAAAACGGACATGTGTAAGATATATACTCGCTATTATCTTAATAATTTCTAAAAATATAAACAAAAATGTCATTCAAACAAAGTAATAAGTGATGCCAGTGTATCGAACTTGTAATCTGTCACTTCAAATTTGTCATAATCGCATTCATTTTCATCACAGAAGAGTTCAGAATGCAAACGGGGTAATAAAAAAATGGCGGCGATGGCATTCCCAATTTCATTACCATTATAAAACACTTCACATCAAATAAATCACACTTATATAGGTCATTTTATATGACAAATTATATCTATCTACTTTATGATAAAACTTCTATTTGTTGAATGTTTGGAATTATGTGGTTAATTTATTGAGCAGTTTCGATCGTTTTTCAATCAGACGCTACCAAAATCCATAAATCTCGCAAAGTCTCGTAAAGTTCGAGATTTTATCAATTTTAAACTGAAAAGCCTATCAGATTCATTTCCCGATAGATATACTGTTCCGAGATATACATGATATATGGTTTTCCAGTTTTTACTTAATGGTTTTACATCATTTTTGGGTCCTATTATAGCTTGCTGTTCGGTGTGAGCCAAGGCTCTGTGTTGAAGGCCGTACTTTGACCTATAATGGTTTACTTTTACAAATTGTGACTTGGATGGAGAGTTGTCTCATTGGCACTCATACCACATCTTCTTATATCTATATATGTATAAAACATGCATGCATTAGAAAAAAGATCAAACCCAATAAGCTCTATATAAACAGTATCAAGTTTTTCACCCCAATTCCTGTTTACACAGTGTTGTTTCTTTTAGGGTCAATTCCACAGGCACTTGTCTCTTTTAGTCGAGCCTTCGACTTTTGTCGAAAAAGCGAGACATAGCGATCCTACATTCCGTTGTCGTCGTCGGCGGCGTTCACAAATATTCACTCTGTGGTTAAAGTTTTTGAAATTTTAATAACTTTCTTAAACTATCCTGGATTTCTACCAAACTTGGACAGAAGCTTGTTTATGATCATAAGATTATATTCAAAAGTAAATTTTGTAAAAAAAAAATTCCATTTTTTCCGTATTTTACTTATAAATGGACTTAGTTTTTCTACCAGGAAACATTACATTCACTCTGTGGTTAAAGTTTTTGAAATTTTTATAACTTTCTTAAATTATCCTGGATTTCTACCAAACTTGGAAAGAAGCTTGTTTATGATCATAAGATAGTATCCAGAAGTAAATTTTGTAAAAAAAAAATTCCATTTTTTCCGTATTTTACTTATAACATGTATAAATGGACTTAGTTTTTCTGCCAGTTAACATTACATTCACTCTGTGGTTAAAGTTTTTAAAATTTTAACAACTTTCTTAAACTATACTGGATTTGTACCACACTTGGACAGAAGCTTGTTTATGATCAAAAGCTAGTATCTAGAAGGAAATTTTGATAAAATTTTGTTCAATTTTTTCTGTATTTTACTTATAAATGGACTTAGTTTTTCTTCCAGTCAACATTACATACAGTCTGCAGTTTAAGTTTTTAAAACATTTATTAGATTCATAAATTATCCTGGATTTTTACCAAACTTGGACAGAAGCTACTTACAATCAAAAGATAGTATAGAGAGGAATATTTTTATTAATTTTTTTCCTCATTTTTGTTGAGCCTGCGATTAGCAGCAAAAGTAGGCGAGACACTGGGTTCCGCGGAACCCTTACGAATTTTTTTTACCTATAAAAACTCTAATGTAACACAGGGTACTTAACTCATATATTTGAGAAATGTAACCCGCTCACAAATTTCATTTATATTTTGATTATATGGTTGTTTATTCCACTGATACTTGTTTTGTTATAATCTACATTAAGGTGGTACATAACACTCACAGGGAAATAACTCTTTAAAAATCAGCTGAACTTTTTGATCATGTTCTATTGTTAACTAAGGAAATATTAAGCTTCTCAATTATCAAAATTAGTGTTATTATACCCCACGCAACGGGTTGCGGAGGGTATAATGTTTTTGACCCGTCTGTCAGTCCGTCCGTCAGTCTGTCCGTCAGTCCGTCCGTCAGTCCTGTTTCTTGTCATCGCAACTCCTCTCAAACCACCCAACAGAATTTCACAAAACCTTTTTAGATAATAAGGACATACTATGTAGTTGTGCATATCGACAGGAAATTGCGATTCAATTTTTTTTCTAGGAGTTACGCCCCTTTGAACTTATTCACTTTAATGTACTACTGCAACAGTTTGTCATCGCAACTCCTCTCAAACCACACAACAGAATTTCATGAAACCTTTTCAGATAATAAGGACATACTACGTAGATGTGCATATCGACAGGAAATTATGATTCAATTTTTTTTCCAGGAGTTACTCCCCTTTGAACTTATTTGCCCAATATACCAGTCAGGGATATAACTCTATAGGGTTATTACAGGAAATAACTTGCATGTGTTATTACAGATATTTTTATGAGTTGTCTACTCTTTAAACCTAAAATTTTCTAAATCTGTAATAACATATGTTTGTTATTTGTAAAATACATGATCAACATTTTAATTTCTAGTGGGCTCTAGGGAACTCTGGAAACTTTGCGCAGAAACTAAATGCATAGCCTTGATAACTAATTTTTGAATTGAATTAATACACATATCATTAACCATGGTAAATCAATGAGACAAGGCTTTTAAATGATTAACTTAGCTGTAATAACAAGGCTTAGTTATTAAAGGCATGTAACTTATTATATGAGACACTTGGGAATTACTGGGAAACTTGCGCAGAACCTCATTACATGCTCTGGTCATTATTTCTTACAATGAATTAAAATAAATTGTAATTAAGCATGATGTATGTCTGAGCAAATGCTTTGGAGTGATATAGAGAAGCTGTAATAACACCCTTTAGTTATTACAGGCCATTTTTTTCTGTAATAACATAGGTGTATTATGCATGATTGTCAAAATATGAACTGTTATATCTTTCTATAGTTAAGTATACATAAAGACAATAGTAATATCAATAGAACCTGTATACATTTGAACAAAACTAATGATGCATATTGTCCCTTTGAAACATGTAACATACATATGTTATCACAGGTCTTTGATTCTTTAGTCCACAATAACAAACATATGTTATTTTTCTCTAATAACCCTATAGAGTTATATCCTTGACTGTATACTACCGTCTGTCAGTCCTGTTTCTTGTCATGGCAACTCCTTTTAAACCACCCAACAGAATTTCATGAAACCTTTTTAGATAATAAGGACATGCTATGTAGTTGTGCATATCAACAGGAAATTGTGATTCAATTTTTTTTCTAGGAGTTACACCCCTTTGAACTTATTCACTTTATTGTACTACTGCAACAGTTTGTCATCGCAACTCCTCTCAAACCACACAACAGAATTACATGAAACCTTTTCATATAATAAGGACATACTTTGTAAATGTGCATATCGACAGGAAATTACGATTCAACTTGTTTTCCAGGAGTTACGCCCCTTTGAACTTATTTGCCCAATATACTACTGCAACCTTTATGTTATCGTTACTCCTCTCAAACCACACAACAGAATTTCATGAAACCTTTTCAGATAATAAGGACATACTATGTAGATGTGCATATCGACAGGAAAATACGATTCATTTTTTTTCCGGGAGTTACGCCCCTTTGAACTTATTTGCCCAATATACTACTGCAACCTTTTGTCATCGCAACTCCTCTCAAACCACACAACAGAATTTCATGAAACTTTTTCAGATAATAAGGACATACAACGTAGATGTGCATATCGACAGGAAATTACGATTCAATTTTTTTTTCCAGGAGTTACTCCCCTTTGAACTTATTTGCCCAATATACTACTGCAACCTTTTGTCATTGCAACTCCTCTCAAACCACACAACAGAATTTCATGAAACTGTGTAGATAATAAATAAGGACATACTATGTAGATGTGCATATTGACAGGAAATTATGATTCAATTTTTTTTTCTGATACAATTTTTTTTCCTTACACTTATTTTATTTCTCCAATGACAATGTGGGGACGTGGGGTATGTGAGCGCGCTCACTAAGGTTCTTTCATTCAAACCTCAATCTGTCAATATATCCAATGAAATTTTTCCGATAAAGTGTGTGGTTCAAGTTCTTTGACATTTTTATAATTTTGTCAAAGGGTCAATCCCCAGAAGTAAATATTTTGTGAAAATTTTATGGAAATCAAACTAGCCAAATTTATTTTAGTCTAGTTGCTTGGTACCACCTTAAATTATCTACAAAATGGTGTATAACACTCCTATTTCTAGTGTCGGAATCATTCGTTACAGGCCTTCAGAGTAAGTCACTAGCTGTAATTATTTCATTTTCTCACAGCCGATTGGAAATGTAAGGCTTGCAGTGTTTTTTGCAGAAACTATAATGGATTGAGATAAATTGTTTACAGCTAAAGTGTTCAGCACAATAAGAATTACAAATAAATCAACTTGGCCTCAACATGCTAAATTGATAATTGAAGCTTTTGAGTTCTAGCTCTCGAAAGTTTGTTTTTATCCATTTTTTATCTTCCAGAAACCATTAAAAAAGAGAGAAATGGTAACTAGAAGAGATGTTAAGCACAATAAGATCTACAGATAAATCAATATGGCCAAAATTGTGTACTGACTCCTCTTAGGAGTTATTGCCCCTGAATGACCATTTTCCCATCATTTTATGATTTTTTTGCAAAAACAAAGATGGATCATGTAGATAGAGAACAACAGTTTATTGCAAAAATATCCTACAAAATAAGATCTACAAACAAGCCAACATTATTGAAATCATCAATTGATGGCAGAGAGGATTTACTGCTCTTGAAAGGTGATTTTTTTGGTTAATTTTTGCAGCTTTTGCACAAAATATGATAGATTGAGAGAAACGGTAAAAGGTCAATCATGTTCATCCCAATAAGATTTACAAATCAATTGATCATCTGATTCATAGCTCTGAAATTGTCAACCAAATACTTTTAAAAGGTATTTCTCCTAAATGTTGATTGAATCCATTTTTTTGAATTTTTGTCAAAAACTATAAGAGCTGGAGAAAAATTTTAAAAAACAGCAAAAAAAATCAGCAACATATGATTTACAAGAAAGTCCTTGTTGCAATTATTGTTATAACCATTGTTAATTAACTGGCACACTAGTTATAGAATGTTTTTCCATTAAATGACCTTTTTTGATCTCACAAACTCTAATAGATCTACAAAAATGCTACTAAATAAATTCTTCAAATGAGCAAACATGATTGATACATTGTAGCAATAATTGAAAAAAATATCTAAATTTTAAAGTATTACAAATCAAATGTAGCGGGTGGGGAGCCTTTTGTTTTTTTTAATTTTTATGAATTAATTCAAAGAGTTGATAACATTTTTTTCAAGATAAAGAAGATTGGTAATTAAAGATTAACGCTGAATTTAATAATGTTATTCCCCTTGTAATCTACTTATTCCTTTTCCGTATAAAATTAAATAAGACACAGGCTACAGTCATGACAGTTACATTGAAATGTAACAATAATAAAAAAGTTATTGTTACATTGGAGACTAATAGCCGGAATGCAGGGTTGGGTAAGGAACTGCTGAATTATGAATGTAACAATAATACTTGTGTCTACGGTTACGTTGTGTTATTATTACTTTAGATTTATTAAACTTTAACTTTCTATAGTTCTATATATTCATCATGTTCATTCTATAACTTACTTGTATTTTGTTTATCATTAAGGAAATGTTTAGCCTTTAACAAGGCAACAGAACAGACTACAGATCACTTAGAAACATGTTTCATGGAAGACAATAAATTACAGAAATGTTAAATGTCTTATAAAAATATAGCTATGGCAGAAGGTTCCACTATAATTTCTTCAGACAAGATTACAAACAAGTTAGAGATGTTTATATACCAGCAAAACCAGAATGGTCAAGAAAAAGGAGAGGCAGATGAAGTGTTTCATAGTGGAAATTTAGAGGGGTCAATTAATATATCTTCTGACCAAATCGCAGACAGGTTAGAGGCGTACCACAGTAGACAGGGAAGTACAGAAACAGTTATCTCCCTTGATTCGAATTCTCATATAGGTATTTCAAGCAGTTTACAGAATCACATGATAACAAATTCCAGTGAAAAACCTTATGAATGTGGTGTATGTGGTAAAGGGTATATTAGTAGTTATTACTTGCATGGACACATGAGAAAACATACTGGTGATAGACCCTTTCCATGTGAAGTGTGTGGTAAAGGGTTTCGTATGAATAGAGACTTAAAGAGACACAGTGTAATACACACTGGTGAAAAACCATATAAATGTGATGTATGTGGTAAAGGGTTTAGTGATAAAGGATATGTATTTCATCATAGGAGATCGGTACATGGTGGTATCACATATAAATGTGATATGTGTAGTCAAGAGTTGTGTAGTAAATCTAGCTTACAACGTCACTTATTAACACATACTAGTGATAAACCTCACGAGTGTGCTGTTTGTGGTACATGTTTCAGTCAGAAACTGGGATTACAGAGACACATGAGAGTTCACACTGGTGATAAATCTCACAAGTGTGATGTTTGTGGGAAAGGTTTTAGTTATAGCCAGGGTTTACGACGACACATGAAGATACATACTGGGGATAAACCCTATACCTGTGTTGTATGTAGTAAAGGATTTATTCAAGCTAGTCAGTTACAAAAACACAAAAGAAAGCACTCAGGAGATAACATTAATAAACAAATGAATATAATGTCTGTGGAAAAAAGTTAAGTGTATGGTGTATCTAATAAATTTACAAATCAAAACACAAACTGAAGATAAATTTCATAACTTGATTGTTGCTATAAAGGGTTTTGTGTACAAGCACATGAGAGCACACACTGGTGCTTAACTATATAAATGTTATGTATTTTAATTGGAGCTCACTGGTTTTCAGGCAACTTTCATATACAACTGGTGGCAGTTTACCTTATAATGTTGGTATTACAGGGGTATCTCCAGGTGATATAATAATAATATATCGTATGACACTTTCATACAGTTTGACATGTCTGGTCTATCTGGCCTGGAATAGAAATGATGAAAAATTAACAACTTAATTGTCGGTTATATTACATGTGCAATTGTAAACAGCCACCATAATTTTACACAAAAATTTACATATAATTGTAGACCTGAAATAAATTGTAATATTCAAAATTTTATGATATTATCAATTTGATCAGTAATCAAAATGAAGATCTATTCGAGTATAAATTTTAGTGCTTCAAGACTTTTATATTTTGTATTTAAATATTTGAATTGTATGGAAGTTTTTTTCAAACAATATAATAATAATTGCCATTTGAATGTGTTTTTTGATCATCATAATTCTGTATGTTATAATTGCCTGATATTGATAAGATGTAGTTTTTTTCTCTCATTTTTTTTAAGTAAGATTTATAATTTAAGGGTCACATTATTTTGAAATGTGATGTACATCATGTTCATAGATTCAAAATTTTACAGTCTCATGAATCTATAATGCATTAACAGCAGAAAGCTCAATTACTTGGGATCACTGTTAATCCCTTTTTGAAAGTTACTTTTGAAATTAAAAAAAAAATATATTTATGAAATTGAAGTCGGAGGTTTTACCCTGTTGCTCTTATCAGAAGTACCTGTTTTATACTACCAAACTTCCTGGAACCAATGTGCTCTAATATGCAATTAAAGTCCTGTATGTTTGTTTTTTCCAGCAATAGTCAAAATAAGGTGCAGTTTTAGACATGAAAGGACTGTCACTTTATTTGAACTAAATAAACAAAACAGCTATTTATGCTTGAAATTGCAGATGGGCTCTGAATTATTGATTTTAGTCCCAAAGAGTTTTGTTTAAAATTTGGATATTGATTGAAATTTGAAGATAAAATTTAACGATTATATTAACAAGGTTAGTTTTATGACACAGAAACTATTATTTAATAAAACCATAACCAAGTTTATAAGTAAGAAGTTCGTATAGTCTCATAGCAGTTAGCTTAACAAACGGGAAACAACCAATTAAATTTAGCATTTTCCTTACAGGTGAAATCTTAACAGTGGGAAAAAATATTGAAATTGGAAAATTGTATCTTTTACTGAATGAAGGTTTGGTTTTATTTTGATTGGATATTTACCAAGTTTACCATGTTTACAAATCATTAAACTATTCAGACATTATTTTTAAATTTTTCAGTTATATTTTTGAAAATCAAATTATTGTTCACTCATTAAAACTGCTCTTCATTGACATATTTGTTTGTTTTTATAGTGATTGAGATTATAACACAATGTTGACTGCTGTACCCCTTCTTTTGAAATTTTTACCTATTATGTCTGTTTGTTTTGTTCACACATTGTTGTTAATATAATGGAATTTTATACGACTGTCATACAATGAGGCTTAGCTAGCTTTAAAACCAGGTTGGATCCACCATAAGAAAATGCATGTACCAAGTCAAGAATCTGACAGTTGATTTCAATCGTTTAATGTGTTTGAGATTATGATTTTGCAATTTTTTAAGTGACTCCGTGTGAATTTTCCTTGGAGTTCGGTATTTTTTTTGTTTTACTTTTACATTACTAGTTCTGAACAATTGCCATTTTGATAAATGATTCATACATCAGTCAGGGGACTTACTTAAATGAGTGATTTTCTAAATCACTGATTCAAGTAACATTATGTCCATAAAGGTTGGAAGTAAGAGTTGTCTTTCTTTAATGATCACCTATTTAAGTAGTACAAATTAATCACTAGACTAAGTGATTTAATTTTATTGTAGCTTTAAATATAGAATACTAATGATCCAGGGACTAATTATGTTGCTAAAATTATCAGAACCAACATCTGTGTTGATAGGATGACCGGGTCATGTCAGGTGATGACCTTGTACTAAATCTAGGATAATGACATAAAAATCACTTGTTTAAGTATCATACCTCAATTTCCTTCCAAAAAATCACTTCTTTAAGTATCATTATTATAATAACCCCCACTAATTTCAGCACCCCCGAACAGTGAAATTTTGATCGCGAACAGTAGAATTTTATTACATAATCTGTAAGATGAAACCTTGAATTTTACATGAAAAATACTCCCACTGCTGGGAAAAATCTGTCAAGAAAGTATCCGTTCATTATGTAAAGCCATTTTTATAGCATTTTTTCAACTAAAATAGAATTTGCAGCTAAATGATTGCATCAAAGGCATAATAAACCTTGCTGTTTAAATGAAGCTAAAAGTTCATGTTTTTCAATTTTTCTAATGAAAAGATATTATCTAAACATATGTGTTTAAAATTTTGGTAAAACTACAAAATCACAATTTGTGACAAAACTTCGAATTTGCTACTTAAATAAGTGATTTAAAAATCACTTATTTCAATAAGTCCCCTGACACATGTCATACTTTCATTTCTACACATGTAACATGAGTAATAAAAGACTTTCACAGAGATCTCCTAATTTGATTGTGTGTTAAGTCTGTCATAAAGGGAAACCATTGAGTGATCGCCGGTATATTCAAATCAACAAAAAAGACATTTTACAAAATATTCTCCTCTGAATCTACTTGGCCAAATTTACCAAAACTTTGCTAGAATTACCATTGGGGTATCTAGTTTAAAAATTATGTCCGTTGACCCCGCTTGAAAACCAACATGGCTGCAAAGGCAAAAAATAGAACATAGGGGTAAAATGCAAGTTTTGTCTTTTGTCTTGAAAACCGCTATAGATAGTGCTCAGACAGTGCAGAAATTTTCAGAATGTTGAGCTGTACCTATTGTCTATTTACATCAAAATTGTCAGACGACTTCTTACATGAGTTATTGCCCTTAAAGATGATATTTTCCAATATTTAGCTTTTTTTGCTTAATATCTTAAAATATATAATAGATGGAGAGAAACTTAAAATAACAAAAAATGATTAGCAAGACACGATTCACTATTAAGTAAAACTGCTGAAATCGTCAGACGACTCCTAATTAAGAGTTTTGTCCTTTAATGACAATGTTTACCAATTCATGGCGTTTTTGTTTTATATCTTAATAATTACATGAATTACAATCGATAGGTATAAATTTGAACAAGCGAACATGATCAGCAAGACGAAATCTACAAGTAAGTTATATTGAGGATATCTTCTAACGACTCCTTATTACATCGTTGGCCCTTTAATGACGATTTTTGCATTTTTTTTGCGTTTTTGCCTGACATCATAAAAGTTATAATAGCTAGATAAAAATCTGCATATGGAATATATATCTCCCAGTTGAAATGGTTTTCCAAGGCTTGTATTTCCTATCATGAATTCCTTGATAGACTGTTAATGCCTACAAGGAAACTAAAAAAAAACAAAACATTAGTTCCAAGTGGTGATGTTGAAATTATCCCTTCGTAAATTTTACGGACGCCATTACGAGTTGGTTGACTGTTATGGGATATGTGTTTCACAGATGACGACGGATATTTCTCAATTTTAGTAACTACAACCCCATCTTTTCCCCGAATGTGACCTGCCGAATGAGACTTTTCACCGTGTTTGTACTTACATTAGCAACACGACGGGTGCCTTATGGGGAGCACTTGAGATCACCCCAAGTTTTTGGTGGGGTTTGTGTTGCTCAGTCTTAAGTTTTCAATGTTGTGTTTTGTGTACTGTTTGTTTTGTTTTTTTGGGTCATGGTGTTGTCAGTATATTTTCGACTCGTGTTTTGAATGTCTATTCGGTATGTTTCGCCTCTCCTTTACTAATCTCTATCGACATCAGATTCCATAAATGACAGAAGAAAGATGCACAAAATCACTAATGACGAGATTCGTAGATAGAGGCAAGTACTTGGACATGTGCCAGACATGGGATAGACATGGACACTCTCTTTTTATATACATAAGATAATCTTCAGTAAAAAATGATATGACACGTTGTTTGTAACGAACACTCACGTTGTCAATAGATAACCTGGCCACACGAAGAACTTTTACTTCATATCTAAAGGACAATACAGTAAAACTTTACACACAGTCATATATTAAAAAGATAACAATAATTCAAATTTATGGTTTATAACCCTCTTCAAAGTTTTTGAGTTTATTGAAAGACGAAATGGTATGTACTTAAGCTTCATGTATTTTATAATGACTGTTTAACCTGTGTTTCCACGGTCACCAGCAATACAGTTTTGTTAGACGTCTTCTGCTGTGTAAATTCTGAGAATTTTTTTTTCAACTTGAATAAAAATCTTATATTATGAAAATTATTAAGATATAATCATTGTTGAAAGTCGTACGGTGACCAAGGTTGCTTACCTCTACATGTAAAAGTTGTCTCTGGCAGTCTTACCACATCGATCTCCTAGCTTTCAAAATGAATGAGCAGGTGCAAAGTGATCAAAACTCATTTGAAAAATCAGTTCAGAAAATACTCGTCTTTGATGTCTTTACATAATCTGCTTATTTGGTGAATGTACTCCCTGACGTTCAAACATTGGTGAATTAATAGAAGGCAATCGTCGAATACAATTATATTTATCATTTATAAGACAAATTTTGGTTAAATTACTCAACAGGAAGTGTCACTGCATATACTTGTAAACGTATTATAATGATAATAATTTCATAACGGTTAAGAATTAGCTTCTCTTATTGGATAACAAGGGGCCACATGCCATTCTTTATTCTTAAGTAAAAAAATCCATCGGTCTTTAATAGAAAAAAAACGGATCAGAAAACCGGTCGTTAACAGACTTTTACATGTTAATGACAAGTGGGGCGTGGTTTCTCTTTTTAGAGTGATGTCCCTTTAATAAAACGCAATCGCGATTCAGACGTTTGGAACATGGCTGAACTGGAAGGCACGTCTGCTACAGACAACTTAAATGATCGTTTTGCCGTACTTTCCGATGCTGATAGAGACAAACTACTCAGCAACAAGAATGCTGAAAGCACCAATTCAGCCACCAAATTTGCAGTCAAGACTTTTCATGATTATTGCATGGCAGTGACTTATAGTTATCACTATAACTGGTCTTCACTCTTTCCTATAGAAATCGTGCAATAACTCGAGTTTGCTTTGAACAATTTGAATTTATGAGAATTTTTAAAAACATGGTTCCTCAATGAAATAAACATAATAGTTGGTGAAGAACTGGTCATTATCGTGATACATGTACTGCCCGTAGGACAGTCCATGTATTACGATAATGACCAGTTTTTCAATAACTATTATATAATTATTTTATTGTCTTCTCCTTGATGTTGGTCAATTGAATATGTAGCTGTAGGTACCAGATTCTACATTTTGACCGAAAAAGACTTGATTTATTGAACTAAAGAGTCATCTATTGTTTGCCTGTTCCTGAATGGACAAGCATCACGATTGTTTAAAGGAAAAGAGAAACGAGTCAATACTGCAGCAGGAAACCCATTCTTTTTCTATTTTTGTCTTACATATTGATGTCAACATGCATGTGAACAGAATGTACAAACATTTAGTGTGTTTGTTTGAAAAAGCAATGGCGAGTTCAGCTGTAAATTTGACTATATATTTTTCTTCTTTAAGAGAAATGTTTGACGTTCAATGAAACAATAAGGTAAGGAAAAATTTATACTGTCTGTGCACAACTTGAATCAAGATGACTGGAAAAAAATCATTCATTGTTAATATTTATAACTTTTTTTATTATGACGAAGGAATCCTGCAAAAGTAAATGCAATTATTATACATTTGCAATGGAAACATAAAAGTCTTGTCCTTTCAACTTAAAACAATCCCTATCAGACTTGCATTTTAATCACTCTCATTCAAAGCATTTTCATGATGACATGAAGTGTGACTTATTTGTGTTCCAAAAAAAAAAAAATTGACTTAGCAGTTAAAAACTGCACTGAAATAGGCCTAGCTAATTTTTAGAAGAAGAAAAATATGAGATATAATCTTTATCATTATTAATTGATTCGCAAGTTCACGATTAAATTATTATCCATTAGTTTAAGCTTCTTTTTTACAATTTGAGTTCATTCAGTAGAACCTGTATCCTGAATGGAATGAGACAAAATTTATTATTCTATATATTAAGTTTAATTACAAAACACACACAGATTGCAAACCATGGCCAATTTCCTTTTATTCTAAATTATGAAGAATTTACTTTGAGAATACTTTGATTATTATTTCTTTTAAATATAATTAAGAGAAAAGGTACTGCAAGAGAATTCAACATTTTAACCCTGTCTATAGATCCAGTATTTATGCATATTTTGGCTAGCACTGGCCTTTTAGATGTGGAAATTTATTTCTGTGTTGGTATTATTCGGTTACAACAGTAAAAATATATATATACCAAAATATTAAAGTAACTCGTGGAATAATATATTATGGCCCATAATAACTGTGATATTAAAGTTCTAAATATATGATAATAGTACAAATAAGTTTGTTCATGAAAAGTGTCAACAAAGGGAGGTAACTCGTAAATTACTTTCGGAACCGCTTCGTCAGAAATTACGACACATCGAAGCGGCACATTTGCGTATTGCAGCGTATTCAGTAGCATGAATTTGACACAGGTCAGTTCATACAAAGCCTCATCACATATTTTAAATTCAGCATATCTTATACCCAAGGCTTATAATCACCTATGCACAAATCCATTTAAGGACAAATTTGTTTAATCGTATTATGATGAAATGCCTTACGTATATTTGACCAATGAAATCTGCTGGATATTAAAAAAAAAAACAGTAAAAGGATGTAAATCCCTTGCCGGGGATTAAGTCGTCATTCCCTGGGAGATTAAGTTGTCATAGGAAATTTAAATATCGTTCTACATATTGTACAAACAAACAAAAAATAGTACTTTGTTGAATATGCTTAATTTACGAAATTTGAAGAACCCGGTCTTTCAAGCAAGGGGGATAACAATGATTGAAACGATAGAGTTTGATTCAACATCGAATTGATTTAAAATCTGCTGCATAATAATATAGCGGTATAAGGATGTTAATTTCCTTTCTAGGATTAATTCGTCATCCCTTAGGAGATTAATTTGTCATTGGAGAATTAAATATCTTTCTTCATTTTGTACAAAAAAATACTTTGTTGAATATGCTTTAATAACGTAATTTAAATGACTTGTTCTTTTAAGCATGCTAATTCCGTGTCCATGGTGTCAGAAATTAAATTGTTATCCTCTGAAAGATTAAGTTGTCATTGGAGAATTAAATATTGTTCTACATATTGTACAAACAAATTCTTTGTTGAACATGCTCAATTTCCGAAATTTAAATGACTTGGTCTTTTAAGCAAGAGGGATAACAACTGTCAATAATTGAAGCAATAGAAATTGATTAAACATCGAATTCATTGTAAATCTGCTGCATATTAATAAAACGGTAAAAGGATGTTAATCTCTTGCCTGGGATTAAGTCGTCATCCCATGGGAGATTAAGTTGTCATTCCATGGGAGATTAA